TCATACAGGTCTCAGTTTAAAAGATGCCGTACTAAAAGTTTAAAATAAAACTCAATAAATTACTTTTGCATATAATGATAAACAAAGTAAGCCTCAATTTGGACTATTACGGATATTTAATATCCAAGGCAAAAGGATTTCTCCTACTGATCAAGTACCAAATAACAATTATTTAAAAATTAATACAAGTAAGTCTTTATTTAAAATATTAAGTGTGAGCTCCTGACAAGATGATCTGTGTGTTTGTTAGAACAGAAAATGAGTATTCTAAAAAAAAAAGTGTAAATGTTTAACAAGCAAAAACTAAAAATGCAATACTAAACTATTAAAATTTCTATTTGCTACTTGATACGGTATCACGGCTATGGGTCACTGTGACTATGGAAAGGTAATACTTGTCTAATATATACAGCCTTCAAAAGGTAAATTGAGCCTCTATTTTTATTAGGAATGCTACACAGGGAAATGGCTGGGTTGGCAGTTATAGATGACTTACCTTAAAATTATATTCCCATTTACCTGCTTTCTGATAAAGGTAAATAAAAGAGGAAGCATTAAATAAAGTCTAAATATAAGCTTCTATGATCTCAGTAAATATCAATCCTACATATTTTACCTACTGAAAAAAATTTCTGATATTGTGATTTTGGCAAACATTTGATACAGATGGATATCAAATTCACAGCAAGTATTTTCTCAGTCAACTTGCTCAGTCACATGAAAAACAAGACTTATTTTTAGCATCATATTTTGCTTCCTTTTTTTTCTTTGTTACATAGTGTTTGTTGAGCATAAGTGTTCTGTTCTAAAATTAGATTCTCACACTGTATGTAGCTGCCTGGATGTTCAAAAGGAAATGTCATTATGTGCACTTATTGCAGTAGAATGTAAATGTCAAATGGATTGGAACACAATTACAATGAAATAGAATAATATAAGAAAATTTGAAGAGAATGGATGGATGACAGATCTTTATAAAAATAATATTAAAACTGTTTCAGTGAGATGAAATTTAGGGATTTTTTTCTTTTGTTTTAACTTTGTGGCAGTAGGCTTTCATAGCACCAAAATATTCAGGTATTTTATTCAGGAGTTTCTAGACCAGGTGGGGATCTTCAGAGTTGCTAACGATGCTCAGATTGCCCCTAGATTGAACATGTTTGGCCAGGTACAAAGTGATACTGAATTACATTCATGATTGTGTTATTTAAGAAATACTTAGTGTTAATTAAGAAAGTGGAAAACTCCATATTTCAAATCAAAGTTGACCAAAGACATGTATTTATTGCCATGTGCTTAGTTTCATTCAAATAAAAGGTGAAGCAATTAGATATTAATTAATCATATTGCAAATATATATTGCTAAAGTTTCTAAGCAATTAGACCATACTGACAAAGTGGTTTCATGAATGCCTGTTTATCTAAATAGGCTTTATATATTGCAGAATATCTTTCCAATTATTAAGGAAAGGAGAAATTCTTTGTGAATAAAATTTGGTACTGAAAAATCAACAGTATTTAACAATTTCTTTCATATGTAGTACTGTACACTTAGCTAATCAGATCATTAATCATCATTTGAAAGCATCTAATTGTTTCTAGTGTTTCAGTGACCTCAGGAAGCAATGTAGTGTAGTGGAAAGATTGCTGGATTTAGTGCCAGAAACCTGGGGTGTACAAACCTAGACAAGGAATTTAAACACTCTAAGCTTTGCTTTACTGATATGAAAAATACAAATAATAATATTATCCTATAGGATTATTGTAAGAAAATAGATTCTTGAATGAGAAAATATGTATAATTATAGACACTCGGTAAACTTCATTGCCTTCTCTTCCCCTCTCCTAACCACCTAAGAAGAAAACAAACCAAAGCAGCCAGATAGACTCCAGTTTTGAGGCTTTATGATACTGTTTCAATTTTTCTCTGTATGTACAGACATTTGTGATCCTATTTATGACTTGCTTTTTTAAGATTGAAAGGACTATGGGAGATAAGGTGATGGACTATTTCAGCTGTTGCCACTGTGAGACTCACAATTGTACTGATAACTAGCTTTCTTTGATTACTTTATTAGGACCTAAATCCTGCCTCAGCTGCTGGCGGTGTGATCTTTGTGCTGTAGCTTCCTCCTGATAAAGGCTAAAAGGAGAGAACTTTAAGGTAAGTTTCAGCTCTGTAATTCTCTGAACTCCACCAAGTTTCATTCTGCTTTGGAAGTTCACCACCTCAGAGGTTTGTCAAAGAAGAATACATTTGTCCTTGATAGCCATAGATAAAGAACTGAATTAAAGCAATGGCAGGTGGCAGCCGTCGACTTTCCACTGGTTGGAATACGAACCTAGAGCTGCTTGGCAGTTACTCCCATTTCCCATCTCAGCACGTCTCATTCTTTTGCTCCGTTTCCCTCCCCCATGTCTCCTGGCAGCCTTGTCATTTTCCGAAATATATGTATGCTTTTTCCTAACTTTGCAGTACTTTTCAACAGTGCGTATAAAAAGACTAAAGAAGATAAGCAGATGTCTGGCCACTATCTAGATCTGTCCTTCTCAAACTCTAAAGTGTATGTAAATACCCTAGGGATTTTGTTAAAAAATACACTCTGATTTAGTGTGTCTAGGGTGGTTTCTCAGATTCCTAACTTCTAACAAGTTCCCAGGTGACATTACGAGTCCTAGAATCACACTGTGGGTAGCAATTCTGTAGACTAAAGTGATCACAAATCTAAAACTTAAAGAAAAGGTAATTATAAAAAATAAATACTATATTTCAATTTCATTTAAAAAAAATCATCTCTTTTTTTTTTCCTGACTTCTTCACAAATAAAATCAGTGTTTTCTTCAAAGCTGAAATTTCCAGAAAGGCAGTGTGTTATTTCTCCTATTGTTCTATTATGTGTCTCCTCTACATTCTGATTTATACATTTTTTAATTTGGCAAAAAAACTACATTATGATTTAAAATTTTAAAGTTATACAAGTTGAACATCACAATTTAATTTTGAGAACATAAACATGTAGGTGAGTGAATTAAACTGTTAACATAGTTATCAAGATGATTGGATTATTTAAAAATAGACTTTTTTCAATATTTATGGCATATTATAAACTTTTGGTGTGTGTTTTAGAAACAAAGTTTACATGACACAAAATACTGCAATGCTCTACAGATACTGCAATAGATAACTACTAGTCATCCCCAAATAGTAAATTTATGAAAAACATTTCTTTGTCTTAGCTGGAGCTATTTATTTTTTTTTCACTTTTCTTTCAACATCCCTTAATATTCAATAATCTTGCTACTGACTGATAAAAATATGAACAAATATACACCTAATTACCAATGATAGTTTTTTCAAGTATGAAGTAATTTGAATTATGACTACAGAAGTCATTGTCCACTCAAAAATTACAGAAAAATTTAAAGAGTAGACATATTCTGAAAATCAACACTATTTTATGTTATAAAACATATACTCATTCCCCTTTCCTTTTAATATATGCTAGATTTCTTTGTTTTTTAGCACAAGCCCAGTAAAGTCCTGGTTCTTAGTGAAAACTAAAGAGTAATGACAGCAACAACAGAAAGTTTTACTGAAAAACTTGTGGGCTTTCTCCTTTATCTCTACATGTATCTGTATTTTTCCTCACGAAAGAGGTAGGGAGCTCAGGGTCCAGGGTCACCCACGTATATTATTGAAGGAATCAGCATCCATCTGGAGGCTTAAATGGGGGTGATGGATAATAACAGTTGAAGAGAAGAACATGGTGGTCAGACAAAGATGAATAAGATATTAAGAAGACAAAAGAATCCGATTGGAACACACTGGTGCAATATAGGAAGGGTCCAGTGTGCTTGTCTTTAATAATGTCCTGGAAGAAAAGTACTTGTGCCCTGGGAGCCTGGTAATGTTGTATAAATTTTAGAGCCCAATTTTAACCCTACACAACCAGTTTCAAATCACAAAAGAATTCAGTAAGTTTTCCTGATATTCCACTTAAGAAACTACAACATCATGCAAATTAAAGTGACATCTGAAAAGTATTTAAAGAAGAAGACTTTGTTAAGATACCAGTAATACCAACAACTTTGTAGACTGGTTTCTAAAATGTTCCTCTTGCAGAGTATTTTAGGCTTGCAGAGAACACTGCATTTGTGAAATGCATTTACCTCTACTGAATTACTTATTTTCTAAGAATAAAGTTTATTTCTCATCCCTAAATAAGTCACCAACCATTTAATCATGTGGAAAACATAAACCAGGTGACCAATCCATTTTGCTAAGCAGAGAGAAAGGAAAGAAATGCAGTTGTTTCAAGGCAGCTTCTTTATGCAGAGGGAAATATTTCTTTTTTATTAGCTCCATCTGATGGTTGATCTGGTTTTTACACACTGCCCAGCTATAAATTCCCAACAACAACTTTATTGTTTTTTGTCCCTCTCTCCTATCAGAAAACAAATTGTGCTATATTGGGAAGATACTCCTTAATTGATTATGTAACTAATTAATTTATTGATCTATGAAGTATTTACTGATATGAAGGATATCCATGCTAATCTTGTGGGCTTTTTTCTTTTTTCCTTTAAATTGAGAAGCATAAGTATCACAGATCACAACAGTTTACAATTTTATATTTGAAAATTTGAAAATATTACTGATACTTTCCTGTATGCACATCTTCACACAGGATGGACATACTTCTCAGATGAGCATGGCTGGCCCATTGCCTAATTTATGTTGAGCGAGTACATGGTGAGAACAAATTTCAAGCACATAAAATTGACTGTATTTTCCTTATTCATGTTTCATACTAATGGACTAGTTTGGCAAAAAACTTATTTATGTGATATACTGTCCCAATGCTCTCAGAAATGAGCATGCATGCTTGAAAATACAGTTCTTTCATTGCAGAGAAAAAATAGCTTAGGATTTAAATGTATTTGAAATGCATAAGTGAGTCTAAGCATCAAATAAGAAATAAATTAAGAGGATACCCTACCTCAGCATCATACTCCCATAACTGATTTCCTCTCATATGGTGGCATTTTAACATGATTACAGGTCCATTGAGTCTAGAAACGTCCAAGCACAAGTCATCGGTTCGGATTTCTTTGTCAGCAGTATAAGAAAATACCTGAAAATAAAAAATTCAGCTAATAAAATAGTAACTTCTTAAAAACAATGAGTCACAGTATAGCAGATTTATCTGTGGAAGCTTTCATATCAGATAAACTTGTGTTTTCAAATGATCTCTGCTGTGTGATCTTGAGAAAGCTAGTTCATCTCTCTGCGTCCTTTTTCTCAGTTGCAAAATCGAGACAGTGTCATCTGCTTTAGGAGGTTTTTGTGAAGCCTCAACTTACCAACTAAATTATTAAATGCATATTATTTGTACTGCATTTCCTGTACTATACTTGCCTCATAAAGCTCACACAACAGGTTCAGTAAAATACAGTTTGTAAATTTCATGGAGTTCCGTAAAGAGAAGTCCCTGTTCCCACCACCACATGACCAATTCCCCAACTCTAGAGACAATGATGTTTTTCATCCTCTTTCTTTCCATAACATAAGTACATCATATAAATTTTATTAAATAATGTCAGCAGGTTTCTGAAAGTTGTCGAATGATCTTTAGCGATCTCATTAAAGGCAAGCGTTACGCTTCTCTCTCTCATGTGGTTTTGGCTGGGCTTGACTATAATTCTTCTCAAAATATCCAAGAAATGCCAAGGTGGATAGTAGACTCATTGTTAGCTAACTCAAACTGATACTATAATAATCTCTATTATTTTGTTCCTAGTGTGAATAATTTGTTATAACATTAAAGTTTCATGAAGGTTATTAAGTCCATGATTATACAAGTTGTTTTCTTCTGTGAATCATGATAAGCATGCTTTGGTAGTCTGTGGGTCTTTTTTTTTTTTTTCTCTCTGTAATGTCAAGAGGAAGTACGGCAAGGAAATTCATCTCGGGGTCTTTTTGTTTCCCAAAGCAGTCTGATGAAATCTCAGGAACTCAGCTCTACAAATCACTTATAAACTCAGAGTCATAGTCTTTAAGCTGAACAAGTTAGTCTTAAAACGGTTGCCTGTACAGCACTGCTACTCAGGGCTTCTAGGACAGTCACAAGCAGTGGTGAGAGGAAGATGCAGTCAGTGATTGATGGAACCCAAGTACCCTCGTAAGCTAACATCGTAAAATGAAAATTTTCACAAAGGTTATACATTCTGCTTAACCATATAAAAACTTGAGAAGGATATAAAGTCCATTTACTTGAACTATTTAAAATATATTGTAGACTTCAGGTATGGAATTCGGAAAAAAATTTCCTATCTTTGACACTTTTTAACGTACATACTTCTCATGGAAAAATGAGTAATCAGAAGAAGAATAAAGGCAACATCCATCAAAGAGAAGTATTTGTATCTTTCCCAAACATGGTTAGTAATTTTTAAATACAATTCCAAACATTTGATTAAATAAATGAATCTGGTTAGCATACCTTAATCTAAGGGAGGGTCATTTCTGAAAAATTTCTTTTGCCCATTATGAAATTATTTCTATGTGAGGGATAATTTTCACTTGGAAGTGGCGTGCTTTTAGTTGTACACAGATGCTAATGTAAAGGGAGACACCAAAGCATCCATATTCACCATTAATTTTACAGAATTAGTATAATCATGGCCTGAGCAATAATTCTTTGAGGCCTCTCATGATAGTTTGGCAACTTAAATTGTTGCCAGTTCTGTAGAGCAGTCCACAAAGCATTCTTTGTTCCTCAGTTTCTATTTTGATTCATTTTGGGGTCAACTAGTAGATATCTTAAGTAATTTACATTATATTTAAGAAAGATATTTGTAGAATACAGCCTGAGCCTATATATACATATATGACATTATCTTTATTTGAACCTTACAATTGAAAAAAAAAATTAACTGATGCATCTGCAAGCCATGGGGATTGCTGGCAAACACTGGAAGATAGAAGCAAGGAATAATTCTCCCTTATAGGTTTCAGAAAGAAAGTGCCTCTTCTGACACCTTGATTTCAGACCTCCAGGCTCGAGAACTGAGAGGCAATACATCTCTGTTGTTTTAAGCCATCCAGTTTGTGATGGTTTGTTACAGCAGTCTGAGAAAACTAATACATTTCCTTTTATTCCTTGTGCTGGTTGAAGCATTTAAGAGTCATGGAATCAGTTTTCCAAACTGTCATTGCAAACTTTGGAAAGGGAAGTTGGACTTTAGATTTCAGATCTATTTGATTGCATCTCGGTGTCTGGGCTTAAAATCGTAACATCCAGCTGTATTTTCCAAAAGCATCAGAGCAATAGTTTTCATAATCATTTTTTATTTAAATATATCTTCATAAAGTGCTTCTTTACTGTGATTAGACGATTTATTTGCTTTTATGTATACTTCATTGTGGTCAGATTGATTTCTGTATCTGAATTGATGCACTCAAAAGAGTTTAGGAGTAACTCCACATATCTAAAAGATGATAGCCAATTCCAGTTTCAATTCCTTTCAATCTTAATATTGTTTTCAGAGAAGGTAAGCTTTTTCATTATAGCCCACATGCATATAGTTTGCTCTGGATTTTTATTTTTGGGAAGTATGTCCAAAGGCATTTTATGATTCTTCGAATATCTAAACCTAAAATAACATTTAAACATATTTTAAGGACTGTGTGAGAATTATCCAAAATATTCTGCATTAAATTAGTGCTTTCACACAATGAAAGAACGTGTCAATATATTCTTTTTAAAATTGTATCATCCTTAAAATCCTAATGTTGTATAGTTGTTTCTTTAAAAATACTCTTGTATCTTTTACCCCTTTGAAAAACTGCAAGCAGCGTAAGCAGCCTTTCACAAAACCTTGTTGGAGGCGTGCATGCTGGAAGCCAAGGACACTATGTGCTGTGTTACTGGGACCTGGACCACGCCTCCTTCAGCAAGAGGCTCGGGAACTAAACGCCCTCTGCTGGCTCTGTCTTGACACAGGGTTTCCTTCCTTTTATCCTTAGGTGAAGTAATTTGCCAAAAGATATGTGTGTATTTAAAAGGCTCACAAGTGTATCTGATTCAGCCTCATTACTTATACAGGTTGTGATTTCTCTGGATGTACTTGTGAATTTATAAATTACTTTTCCTGTTGAGCTCCTCAGGACAGTATTTACTATAAAAGTTCACAGTTTGAACGGATTCTATATGTCACTCTACGCCAGCCGCCTCACTTTCCAGATGAAGAAACCTAGGTCACTAAAGTTACAGGGTTCCCCCACCTTGCCAGAGCTGCTTAGTCACAGAGGTCTGTCTGGACCCCAGGCTCACTGCCATTGTTCTGCCACTTGACTATACTGTTCCTTACATACCATTGTGGAGCTTTGGGCCCTCGGGACAGTGGGGGCCGGGGGTGTCCTCCTTAGGTATTTTAAGTACAGTCAATTTGAGAAATCTGTTCACAACTATCCAGAAGGATAAACTATAAGAAAATAAATATACCATGATAGTTTTTTCCCTCATTCTGTAAAAGCAGCCCAAGAACATTTATAGTGAAATAAGAAGGAAAATTGTTTATCCATAAAAATTTGACATTTAGCAATGTGATTTATTTTTAAACAAGTTCTTACTGTATATCACACGGTCCTAAAATTAGCATGGAGAGTGCATAGATGGAGTTGAATTCATCAATGGGGATGCCAAGTAAAGAAACTTTTGCTCTCACACAGGAGCTTTTTCTATCTTATTTGATTTCAGACTTTCTAGCATGTTATCTCAGTGGTTTGTGTAGAGGAGGGTAAGGAGAAGTAGGTAGCATCCAGCTGTGTACCCTTAGCTTACATGCCTACGTAATATCTATGGTCTTTTACAGTTTGAATGCTCTAAAAGACTGTTGTTAAAAACAGGTGTGTACCTCAAGTTCAGTATTTCCAACTTGTCCTCAACATCACCTATGAAGACTAACTCTTTCTCCTTTTACTTGCATGTAACTATATGTAACAATTTGATATTTCCCTGTTTGTGCTCAGCAGGTCCCCTCATTCTTCCATCCCTTACCTGGTACGTGCTGTTCATTACCAGTAGGACTACCCATTCCACTTTGTCCAGGAAAAGACCACATCCTTAAAGTCTTAGTAGATTCTTCAGTCTTCATGTGATTTTTTATTTTGATTTATTTTTGTGATTACACTTACCCAGATAGCTTATTTGCACTGTATTGCAGGTATGGAATTATCTCTATAAATCTTTGGAGCAGGACAGCATGAAAACAGTGGGCTTTGGAAAATGACACAGATGGGTTTGGGACCTTCCTCCACACTCATCAGAATCACAGTGCCTGTGAGCCATTGTCAAAATTTTAGCTTCCCCATCTGGGAAAAGGGATAAAGATGCCCCTTTTTTCCTGGGATGTTTCAGAGATTGAATGAGGTAATACATTCAATTCTAAACACAGTACTTAACCCACCTAACATAGTATTATCATCTGTGCAAACTCCAGGCATATCTTGTCTTTTTGTTTTATTTTTTAAAACTTGCTGCCCCAATAACAATGTTAAAGATATATTTTGAATACCTATGGAGACAATTCTAGGAGAAGATTATGTGTCCAGTAATTATTTACTGAATTAATGAAAACAGTTTGTTTTTGGAATTCTCTAGTCCACTCCACTTTGTGGAAAACAGAGCATGAGAATAAAATAATGTAATAAGTAGAATTCACTAATACAGTAACAAAATGTGACTGATACTACTATTTTCTTTCTACTTCATTATTAAATTCTCCCATTTTAAGCACTACTGATGGAAAAGTTTATGTATGTTCAATATTTTGCCTTGAAAGGTTTTAAAGGACGTCTACAGTTTGAGAAATCTATTCTTGAATGTTTTCCAAATATTTACTCATATTTTACTATTGTAATACTGAAGAATATAAGTTGCAAATTTAAGCCCAATAGGAATTCCTTCCAAAAGAAACCTCACTAGATCATGCTTGTATACAGATATTGTTTTTCAGATTCCTGTCCCCTAGTGTACATGCCCTGTATAACACCCTGTATGTGACATCATTTCTGAATATATTTTTCTAATATTTCAAAAGCTTTTCACATATATTGTATTATTAAGCATGT